AAACAGGCCCTTGTACAACGCCTCTAGACCTCTGAATCAGGACATCGATACCTCCAGTCAGGACTATCACTACATGCTCTGGAGTGGCTTGGCCTCTTCCGTGTCTTCCCCTTTTTGAGGGTTTTTTCCCTCGCCTGTATTGTCCCTTCAGCATCCCACATGCACTTCCACTTACAATTGGAATGGTACCCGGACTTTCGAGCCACACACACGATAACTGGAGCTGGACTAGTCCGGTTAGGGAATGTGAATGCAAAGAGTTCGGTGGACGTGAAATGGAAGAGTGCATACCAAAAAGTGGCGATTATGGGATGTTCCAAGATTTCCAAGAGCTGCAGTAGCTGGGTCCTGGACACCAGCGTAATATGAAGCCATTGACAGAGCGCCCGATGCAACAGCTGTCAACCCCAGCATGGTGTTGCTAACAGTAATCGCAAAGTCGATACTGGGAGATGGTAGGACTGCAGGAATGACAGTTCCATATTCATGAAAAGTACATGGAAAATCAACCAATCAACCAATCAACCAATCAACCAATCAACCAATCAACCAATCAACCAATCGACCAATCGACCAATCGACCAATCAACCAAACAATCAATCAAACAATCAACCGATCGACCAATCAACCAAACAATCGAGCAAACAAGCAATCAAGCAAACAACCAATCAACCAACCAATCAATCAATCAACCAAACAATCAAGCAAGCAATGAACCAAACAATCAACCAAGTTCAACCAATCATTCAATCAACCAAACAGTCAAGCAACCGATCGATCAATCAAGCAATCAATCCATCAATCAACCAAGCGAGCAAACAAGCAAGAATGCAGATGGACCCCCCCTCCACGCCCATCGGCATTCCCTCCCCGCGCCTCCTCCCCGGCCACAAAAAAGAAAAGGGGAAAAGGAAACAAAAGTACAACAAGGCAACAAAATCAGTAAAACAATGTGAAGTCAAGTCGGCTAAATGAAAGGAAAGCCAAGGGCACCAGAACAACAGCACCATGGAGATACGCAGCCCGACCTAGTAAACACTCAGTTGAGCCAAGCCAAGCCAAGCCAACCTAATGCTTTGAGAAAGAACAAAGAAGTGGAAAAATCGGGAAAGGAGCAAAACACACACACACACACACACACACACACACACACACACACACACACACAGAGGCAAAGAATCAAACCAAAACACACCGCC